TCTCCACTAATTCCTTTCTCTCTTTTATATATTCTCTTCTCCCTTCTCCTTTCCCCTTCTACATCAATTATTTTTTTGATCAAATATTAAAAAGTATATTATAGTATTAGAAAAATTGTTATATTCATTCTTTAATTTTACAAAAAATTTAATTTGGTCTCTTCATTTTATAAATTATTTTTGTAGTCTCTAATTTTAAACTAATAATTTTTTTTACCAAAAATGTTAATATTACAATTTCATATGTTGGAAAAAAAAATTTAAATGATGATATTTTAATTCAATTATTTTTATAATTTAAATTTAAGCCTAATATTTTAACATTTGAGAATATTTTATTAATATTTAAAATTAGTGTTGACATTTTCTGATAATGAGAATGATGATGTTAGAGGATTAAAAATATATTTTATAAAGTCAAGAGATAAATCTCCTATATACACTTGTACATATACATTGTAATTATAATATATGATGTGTGTGTGTGTGTGTTATATTCATCTAAACCTATGGCTTTTCTGGATGTATGTATGTTTGTTTGTTTGTTTTTAATATAATAGATATTTGTTAAGTTTCCTATTATTCCCGTGTGTTTATTTTTAGTCTTGTGTTTGTTTATCCTGGCCCACTGTAAATCTATCTCTATAGGTTTAGCTTGAGCCTTCTAATGTTATCTTTTTATTATAAAATAATAGTTTGATCTTTTGTCAAAAAAATCTAGTTCCTTATGCGTAATGAATTAAGATTTGAATCTTTATTAAAAATTTATTCATATTTAGTATCCAATTATACCTCGAATGGGATTGCCTCTAATAAGAGGATATATAACATCTAAAAAATTATCCTCTTGATTAATTAGACTAATGAAAAGTAATTATGTAAATTTAAGTATAATTAGGTTTGGGAGTAGTTACAGATAGCCAATAAATTTATTAGATTTAACTTTAGCTATTAGATTTAACGTTAAGAACCTCATTTTCTAACATAGGCCTCTTTATTTTGGTTTATATATGTGTAACCAATTTTATAATATTAATTAACAAAATGCATATTTTGATATTTTTTGTACTATTTAATTGTTTATGTTGATTTGTTATATTTTAGACCTTAAAATGGTGTGTTGTGATTTGAGAAGTTTGGACAGGATCTAAAATGTTAGTGCAAGTATGACTTTTGAGATTAAGATGATTGTAATTGAAGATTGTGAGTTTTAATGTTAAAATACCTCTCTCTTTACTTTTAATGAGTTTGGGATTGAGAGTTAAATTTTTGAAATATGCAATATCTAATTATTGTGGTATGTTACATTGATTGTCCAAAGCTTATTGAGTATGGTATAGGTGTTGAGTTTTGCTTTTAGCATTTGATGTGAATTTTGGACACCCATGTTATGGTTATAGGGTGAAAATGTCTTGGTTTGCATTTGGAAGTCCAATTTGTGATTAGGTTATAATTTAAAAGTGAAACCAGTGTCATTAGTTAAATTTTTAAAAGAGTTTTTTGTGAACACCTAAATCACCTTAACTGGACATCAGATGAAGATTTAGGGTGCATTAGAAGTTTGGCCAAAAAATTTGCCATGACAACATATTGTCATGTCATGGGTTCTGCATTTTACATTGTAGCGTACAATGCTATGCTATGACATATTTCTAAATTTTGCTAAAGTGTGCTTGCTATGCCTTATACCACAGCATATTTGCATTATGCCACAGGGTATTGTACTATAAATGTTGTTTTGGCTCTTTTAATCTTAAATTGATCTGTTATCTTCCTAATATGATTTCCATGCTCCTATATACATATTTTTCTTTTAGATTAAGAAATAATTTTATAGGATTTTAAGTTTTAAAAATTTAGAATTCCATTTATGAAAATTTTACAAACTTAATAATCCATTTAGGTTAGTCCCTAATTACCTCAATTTTGAAATTAATTATGAATTAATAAGAGCAACCTCATAGGATACTCATAAGTAATAAAAAAAGAATTTATACATTGTTGCGATTGTAACATATATATATAATATTGAACATTTATTCAATGGATGAAATATTTTTTTGTAAAATTTTTTAAAGTAATTATGCTTGAGTTGGGAACAAAAATTTCTCATGCAATTTTCATTTACATTTGTCAAAGGAAATCTTTTCTATCCATGGGTATCATCTTGTCGGAGTCAATTAATGGCGGAGCCATATTGTATTGAGAGGGACAAATGCACCCCCTTACTTTGAAAAATATTATAAGTAGGTATTATTTGGGTCTAAAATGAAATGTCAACCCAAAATCATAAAGAGGAAGAAAAATTAAAAAGACAAGTCCAATTAAAAATAAGGCTCGATCCATTCTCAAAAAGAGTCGTGCCACACACATACTCAACATGACCCTTAAGACTTAGAGCAACTATTTATGGGAACTATTGGGTGGACACGAGAGCGTTATCTAATGTGTCACAAATCTCACGAAGCTGTGCTAAGTGATAATGGATATTTGTGAATGGGCTCCAAGTTCTTCAGACATAATGGTCTCAGACAAACTATTATAAAATGGGCTCAAACTAACAACAATGCATCATCATCAATATCAGATTCAACAATAACTTATACCAAAAAACCTTCTCAGATTCATCTTTTCTGAATTGTTTTACCTTATATTCCATATTTAGATTTAGATTTATTTCTAATTCACAAGTTGTAATAATTGTAACTTTGTCTTATATTTTTCATTAATCAAAAACACCTTTTACACCAATCTCTTTACATATTCATATTCGGTGAGATGAGGTGAGAGAGCTCAAGGATCTTATAGTTATCTTTGAGACTCCAAATCTCTAATACACCTAGTTTTATTATTCAAATATGATGTTCAATTTGTGGAGAATAGGTATGTAGATTTTGCAACTTTGCATTCTTTATTCTTAATATTTTTGCATCTTCTGGACTAAATAAAAAATATGTAGGCTCAAAAGCTTATTAGATATAAAATAATTTAATGATTTACATAAAATATGAAGAGCATATTTATCCACCAACATTTTTAATATAATTTTTTAAAAAGTTGATAATCAATCTATTTATGTTATAATAATTACTGTAACTATTATTTTTAATTATTAAATTATTATTTTAAAAAATGTTATTTTTTAATTAAATTATCTTGCACCCCCTAGCTTCAGGGCCTAGATCCACCACTAGAGACAATCAAATTTGAGGTGCTATTTGACACTAAACGTGGGTCTATTTTTCAACGAGAAATCAAATATTGCTCATCATGAAAGATTAGCCTCTCTTTTTAAACCCAATCCTATTGGTGTCAAACTCAAATTGTTAGAGGCTGACGGATCCAATTTTTCACTGATCAGAATTCATAACATGTTGATCCATATAACTCAGCCTCAGTCCAGTTGGTTCGGGCCTCAAGCTTTAGGTCCAAAGCCAATTTTCTCGGACCTAATTTGATGAAGATCAGTGTTGAACAACAGGCCCACTAAATAGACAAGAACTAGGCTAAGGCGAGGAAGCCCGAAGATAAGAAAGCATGAAGCTTGATGCAGCGTCGTGGCTTCGAAATGGAAAATGTCATTTCAGGACAAAAAAAGATAAATAATGACACGAAAGGAACGACAACTTATGAAAACCAGATCCGTGGACATAGTGATGGAATTTTTTTTTTCTTTTACACACACAGTTTTATGTTATTTTTATTTTAAATTCTTAGCAGGCCACCCCTTTCTTCTATAGATCTATGTTAGGCTAATAGGAAGTATTACTTTTGTTTTTTTTTTAATACAAGGGCAAGCCTAAGCTTAATTAATCCGCTACAATTATTTAAATATTAGAGCTCGAGTTCATTTTCCTAATAAGGATATCATTACAAAAGGAGGGAGCTTCCTTAACTAACAAAAGGTATTGCGCATCAAAATATTCTTTTCTAGCTAGAATGTCTGCACAACCAATCGAGTTTTGATTTGTCAAGATGATATATCAATCTTCTCTAAATGACAAATGCCATTTTATATATGATAAATCAGAGATTTCAAAAGGTGATTAGAATCACAAACATGAGCAGAGCTAATTGTAAATGAGAGAGGCATATGCACCCCTCAACTTGAGAAAAATAAGATGCATGGAGTGTTAGTTTTAATATTTTGTAGTTTGTACTCTCCTTTTTTTTTATATATATTTTGCACTCTCTTATTTTAATATTTTAAACTTTAAACCCATTTCAATATTATTTTTATAGTCTAGATCTAAAATTTAATTTTTTAACTCAAAGCCTAATGAATATTAATATGTAATTTTATTATATCTAAATATCAATATTATTTATTAAACCTTCAAAAATAGGAAAAAAATTTAATTTGATTAAACCAGAACTATATCATCCTTATCCCAAATACTAGTTAGAAACTAATAAAAAAAGCAATAAAAAATAAAAATTCAAGACTCAATAGTAAATTTAATGAATTTTTTTATTAGTTTTTTGTACTTGCAAAGTGAAATTAAAAAATAAAAAAAATAATATATTTAAAAGAGATAAAAAAATTTTTCTTACTAAAAATCTTAACTTCACCATTGCCCCTATTGAATCAAGATCTTAGTTCGGCCACTGCTCACAAGTCAGCGTGATTAAATTTAAACCTTCATGTTCAGCTTCGAGAGAGTATTACCATTAAATGCATGCGAGCATTAGGTCCAAAGACGCTGCCCTAGGTCTTTCTGTGGCATTTCATGAATTTTCGTTCTTTGAGTCTCATTATTAGTTTATTGCTCATGCTGGGTCCTGAATGACATTGTCTCAAAAGGAAGAGTGCTCCTTTCCAACTGCTACACGCCGATGCCGTAAGCAGCAATAATAATATGTGCGAGCCCACACGCAACCCATCTCTCTCTCTCTCTGAGACTGTACCGCGGGTTGTCACGTTTGCAATTCTCTTCTTTACAACCACGGAGCTCACTGTTCTCTTTAACGCGTTTCGGTTCCTGTAAGCCCCTCGTTCTCTCTCTCTCTCTCTCTCTCTCTCTCTCTCTCTCTCTGTTCCGACTCTATTTCTATTCCTCTTTGTAAATATCTTTATTTACGATTCCGATGCTTGAGTGCGGTTACCCCAATCTCTGCAAATGTTTGTTTCGATTAGTAATAGAGATTTGGAATTCAAAACTTTTTGGATTTCAATGGGTTTCTTCTGATTTTGGTGATTGAATCTGGATGTCTCATGTTGGTTCCTGAATGTTATTCATTGACCCCCTTGTTCGTTTAGGTTGTGGAGAATTTTCGGGGAAAATGGAACAGACCCAGAAATTTATAGCATGCTTTTGACTTTTTCTTCTTTGCTTTCTATTTCAATAACTATAGGTGCCCATGGAAGCTGAAGGTTGTGTCTGGTTTATTATTTTCACCATTTCGAGTTGATCCTGAAACTGTGGATGAAGGTCATAATATTCTGAGTTTTTCTGGCGTTGTGTTCTTGTTTTATTTATTTACGGTTGTGATTTTGGAGCGGCAGCTCTGTTTAAATCTATTGCTACGACATTCTTTTTCATTTTTGAGATGTATTGATCTTAGATGCCATCTGTGCTTGTAATCTTGGAAGCAGATTTCTCACTATATTTTGTCTCAATTTGTGATTTTTCTGCAGTAAAGAAGGACCCTCCTCTTTGCGCGTGTCCCGTCCTCTTCTCCAATTCTCCACTATCACAAAAGCCCTGTATCACCTATACCGATCTCTTCCTCTTTGCACTGTAAAAGAGAATGGAGGTCAAGCTTTGGAGCGACAAGCGCGAGAGAGAAATGTACGAGAACTTTGCGGAGCTCTATGCCATTATCAAGGCGACTGAGAAGCTTGAGAAGGCCTATGTTCGAGATGTAATCTCATCTCAGGAATATGAAGTAGAATGCCAGAAGCTAATAGCCCATTTCAAAACTTTGGCATCTACCCTCAAGGATACCGTGCCAAACATTGAGAGATTTGCCGACACATACAAGATGGATTGCCCGGCGGCTATCAACCGCCTTGTGGTATCCGGAGTCCCTGCAACCGTTGAGTACCGGGCGGCTGCTGCTTCCTCTGCGTCTACCTCTGCTGCCATTGTTGCAGAGTGTGTGCAAAATTTTATAACAGCCATGGATTCCTTGAAGCTTAACATGGTGGCTGTGGATCAGGTCCATCCTTTACTCTCAGACCTTTACGGTTCACTGAATAAGTTGAGCATTTTGCCATCGGACTTTGAAGGGAAGACCAAGATGAAAGAATGGATTGCAAGGTTAGCTAAGATGGGAGCAGCAGATGAGTTGACAGAGCAGCAAGCTCGGCAGCTTCACTTTGATCTTGAGTCTTCTTACAATTCCTTTATGGCAGCTCTACCCAATGCTGGTACATGATTGAGTGGGGGATGCTTGTAAATAATGTTGAAATTTCCTTTTGTTCTGGTGGGCTTATAATTTTTTTTTTTGGGTTTATTACTATTCTTGTTTTTGTTTATTGGAGAGCAATCGGCTATTTGGTGATAGCTTATACATTCTAAAGGCTGAATATTGCCATTATGTGGCACTATGCTGATCATTAATGCTTGCTCTCATAGTATGAACGAGCTCTAAACTTCTCCTTCGTCCTTGTACCGTTTGGTTTGAGTTTCCAAGTACTTTTGCGAAGGGTTGGAGAACAGCTGTTTGTTTCATTCATTTATTTGATATATATATATATATATATATATATTCTAGAAGGGTTTTAACTTTAACACCCTCACATGCCCAAATGATTGAGATCATGGATATCTCTATGCGCACAAGACCCGTGCAAATCATCAGAACTTTTTGATCATTGTAATGATTAGTCTGATCGTTTTGTCAAGATGCACTAAACTTGCCTAAAAGAAAGTAATCGATTCGGGTGTTAGAAAATCTTTTGGTTGTTCCTCGAATTACATTTATTTTTATTATGACATTATCTTAATTGACGTGCAGAGAATCCTGGATAATGTACCCTTCCTCTTTCCCTACCTCGCTGAACTAAGTTACTAATGAAGGCCGTGATTATTTATTAGCAATAACCTGCAATGAACACCCAACTTCTAGATGATGATCAATGGTTGATATCTGAGTTTGCGGTCTCTTTAATGTTCTCAATGGCTTAGTATTCTAGCTAGCAGCTATGATCGAAGCATGAGTGAAAGGATATGTTGTGGGAAGAGGAATTACAGTCGAACTGATGTTTATTGTACGTGGCTTTAGCAGATTTAGTGTTGAGATGGTGATGTTAGACTACAGTCTAATGTTGAAAACCTGACATCACTGCACTAACGTGTGAAAAAGAGCAAAAGCCTGATGATATTGTTGAATATCAAATATTTATAACATAATCACTGTATAGGTGAAAAGGGTAAGAACAGCAGATGAAAACAGAGGAAATGAAAAGAAAGAAAGCTGGTTCAAATGTGGTTATATCTCAAGAACATGTGAAGCTATTGTTACAAGATTGCCAATTTCTTGTTCCTTGCGGTTCCCTTGCTATTGCAATTGAATGGGAATCTAAATTGCAGACTAGCTCTCTTCTATGGTTTTCTGGGCTGAGGAAGGCCATCTGAATTGAATGATTTCTCTTTAACATGAAATCACCGAACTCCACTTTTCACTGCTCCAGGCATGCCCACTTGTCCTAGCCCCTAGGCACAAAAATAATGCTAATTTCACAGTAAAAACATTCTCAAGACACTCCCAAAAGACGACCGGCGGATCAAACCAACATCTCCGAGTCTGTCTAGGAATCTCCCTGTGTTTCAGGATACAAAATCTGAGAAGCATTTTGGGGATGAAAAATACTCTCAAAATTCTTCAAATGATCCATCTACCCACACCATCTCCATCCTACCTCAATAAATGAGGTACAATTTGAATCAAGATGGGAAACAAGAGCACAATGATGAGGACAAGTCCAAGAAGTATGGCAATGCAGGTCCACTTCCTCGACTCCTTCTGGTGCTCTCTGGCCTCCTGAAGCTGCTCGGTGCCTCGCCTAACGAACGAACTGGCATGCGCCACATGGCTCTCTATGTTGTTGAGCTGCTGGCCCTGAGCCTCCACCAGAGCCGCCATGTCCAAGAACACTTGGTGCAGCTCAATCAAGTTCTTCTCTATCTCCTTCACAGCATCATGCCTCTCTTGAATCTCTGATATGGTGTCCATTATCTGACCCCTCCCCTGTTCTTGAATGGCCCTTTGCAAGAAGCTCTCACTCTCCCCACTTGCTATCAAGTTTTCTATGGTATCTTCATCTGCTTTCTCTCCTGTGATTGTGAAATACCTGCATTTTCAGTCAAAAGTTCTTATTTCTTCCCTTTTCCCATCCTCCCATCTGACTTTACACATCCACTGGACATGTTTTATCGTGTATTGCATGGAGTCTGAGGAATGAATCATAACGTCACAGTGTGGCTTTACTTTTTATGTTGACATTGATGTTATCTTGATGATTATATACATGATGTGTTTTATCATACCTGCGTTCAATTGTTTCCTTGTATTCAGCTTGCATCCTGGCTCTGAGCCCCTGAAAGTCATCCATCAAGTCCTTGAGCTTCTTCCCCAACCCACTGACAACGGAGGTTCGGGTCCGATCAGCCGATGAGCCTGGGCCACAGCCTGGAACGTTCCTCTGGGCAGCATTAGACCTCTCTAGAGCCTCCAGCTTGCCCTTGATGATCTTGACCCGTTTGAGGACCTGCTCAACGTCCTTGTCCATTCTGGATCGAAGCTCCTTCATGGTCTTAGAATTGTGCACAACCTTGCTCTCCTCATTAGCATCCTGCAATTTCCTGTACAGCTTCTCCACAAATCTCATGTCCTCCTTCACATTCTCCACATCCTCGAAGAACTTGTCCAGGTTTATACTCTCCTTCCCTGCCTCCACATCGTCCAGGTACACCTGCTGTTTCAAGTCTGTGTACTTCTTGAAGGACCCTGAGATTAGATCGTTCATTTTTACAAATTTTTGGGAATGATTTCAATATGGGTTTTCTTTCCTACTTCTCTGTTCTGGGTTATGATGATAGTGTGGTCCAGTAACAGAAATATCATGAACTTGTGTTACTTTAAAAAAAAAAAATTGACTTAAAAAAAGGGTTCAAAAAAGGTTCATCCTCCTTTCTGGATTTGTTATTATCAAATCTGGATGATGATGAGAAGGAGGAAGGTTTTGGTGACAAAAGCAAAACCAATTGTCACCAACAAAAGGCGTTGAGGTGAAATTTCCTCTCTGTTTTGCTCTTGGAGAGGATAGACCTTTAGAGGTTTGTGGTTAATTAGAACCAATAACCAATATTACGAGCTTAATGAGCCTCACTTTACTCTCAATTTTACAAGTGTCGTTGCTTTTATTATTTTTTATTTTGGGTGAAAATATTTAATATAAGATACTCCACCATTATCGTTGGTGATGAGATTAGTGTTTTAAAATCCACTTTAAGATGTTCTATGACTTGGTCGTGTTTTTTCTATCCTCTGAAACATTTTTCTTCCGTTCATATTTAAGGAGTACTTGGCTGAACGGAAATTTCTTAGACTGTCTTTATTGCAGTTTATGGGTTTTTTTGCCCCTTTTAAGTCAACCAAAATAAAAATATCTTCAGCTTTTAGTAAGTGGTTTCTTATCCATGAAAAATATTTAGACTTGTTGACTTGTGGATTTACTGTAAAGGAAAATTTAGATAACTATGGTCAAAGAAATTGCAATATATTTTTTCTTAAAAAAAAAAATTGTTGCATGATTGTTTGGTTGTGTTGTAGAATTGGTTTGATTTTGCTTACATTTGTCGAAATATGGACATGAGTTCTTGACAATGTTAATGTTATGCGTGAAACGGTCGTTTGGAAGAATAAAAATAATTGAAGTTGCAGTGATATGATTTTTCATTAAAAAAAAAATGTTGCCGTTTATATTGTTGGAAAACATATACATGGAAATGATTATTTTTTCTCATTATATAAAAATAAACATATGTATGAAAACATGTATAAAAATAAAAATAATCGAAGTTGTAGTGACTCCCGGCAGAATATTTTCTTCAAACCTTTTTCTAAACCACCATGTATCATTTTTCTTATTTTATCCCTCCAAAATTATTCAAATTCAAGTAAAATCTTATTTGTGTACTTTTAAATAGATATATTTTTTCCTTTCTTGTTTCACAATTCGAAATATGAATTCCTTCTTTTAGTAGTGAGTTGTCTGTCATGATCGACTAGATCACGTAAACTAACAAGTGCGGTGCGTTCAATTAGATCCTTTGAAGAAAAAGTAAATGAACTGAAATAATAAATCCTCTGACATAGATATGAAGCTCCCTATTCTAAAAATGCATAGGAGAATCTATCTGTCCGCATTTATTTGCTTTGCATAAAAAGGAAAATATGTGGAATTATATTGGTGAAATAGCTATGCTCCCTCGGAAATACAATATAAGTTGTTTCTAGATATTTTACTTAATCTAAGGAATTGGATAAGTGATATATATATATATATATATATATTTAATAACACTTTTACTATATTGAATAATTAATGAAAATATTTTAAATAAATCAAATGTTATATTTATTATTTTTAATTTTAATGGTGCAATTGAAAAGAGGTGAAAATTTTAAAAAATTAAAATTTTAACTAATTTTTAAAAAATATAAATTAATTAATAATAACTTATATTATGATTCGAATGGAGCATAGTTTTAAAAGGGTTTATCTATAAAATTTTACAGGAAATTCTGAAAAAGCAATAGCAAGAAGCAACAAAAGGTGTCTGCTCCCTGGATGCCTTCCACAATTTTAACTTTCAATTCCTCGTTTCAACTTTCCACTTCACTTCAGACCAACCAACCCCCCTTCTTCCATTTACTACTGCCACTGCCTTTAATGTCCAACTCTCTCTCTCTCTCTGACTTTTCTACTTGCGTGCTTTAGTCACCCACATCCCACGATATTTAATGCATCTCTTCTACAGTGGACAAGAGTGAAAAAAACACTTCAGCTAAGTGCACAGCTTTGCTCATCTCCAAACAATATAAATGCTCATTTTGTTCCCTATTACAATGTACCTTTGACCATCTCATGATAACTAAAAAAATGTGATTAAGCTTTTAAATTCATATGAAAATAAAATAAGTTTTTAATTTTACTTTTATTTAAATAAAAATTCTTCAAATTTGCATTACATTTAGTGTTAATATTGAAAAATGAAATCAACTCTCCCATCAAGTGCCTTGTATTAAAAACTAAAAAAAAAAAATTAAATCTAGAAGACATTCTATAGTAAAAACCCTGAGTGTATATATATATATATATATTGCCTGACAAGTCACCTTGTCCGATCAGTAACTACAATACAATTACACAGACCAGATTGATAAGAGCAAGTTCTGCTGACCTAGGTGTATTATTTTATAAATCTATTTGCAGACCAAAATAAAATTTTACACAGTAATTAATTGTCAATTCCCTCTACCGTGCGTATCAGTAATTATTATTTATTAGCTAATCCCACAAGTATTGGTGTATTGACTCGAAAAATAAGATTATCACAATAGGAGAGACGAGTGTTTCTGATCACAGCAAGTGATGTTTAGGACTTAGACTGAAATATCTATTGCCGTTTTTTCATCCGGCATAGTGAATTAACCTTTAATCTCAACTCCACAAAATAACAATAGAACTTTCTGAGCATACATCCTATTGCTTCCAGCAGACATTAACTAAACAGAAACTTTCCTTGAGCTAAAGATAAGAATGGGAGAACAAATTAAGCTTAGTTACATTTTCGTTGTTGAATGATGGTGGCAAGGTGAACTCTTAAATGAAAATAGCTTCAACCTGCTACGTCATTCACCTGCATTTTCAGTTTTTTTTTTTTCCCCTACACAAGCCGCTATAACGATGTCCACTTACATTACTAGAACAAATTGTAGGTTTCTCCACCTGCTGGTTTTTTTGCTGGTTTTTTTCCTACCCCTCTTTCTGTACAGACCTGAAAAAAGCAAGAAGCCGAAGTGGATAAATGTACATCAAAAAATCTCCACACTTCCAATATAGCTTTGCAGGATCATCTCACTGGAAGCTGCTCACACATTCATAGACAAGGTTTGGGCATGTTCCTTGTCAGCATTATGATTACTACTGCCAAGGGCTACACCATTGCAAATTTTCTCTTCCCTAGCTTCATCTCCAACTTGCTGTGACTGTCCACCTGAAGTATCTCCGGCAAAAGAGTTCACCATACTCGGATGCCTCACAAACCTACCAGCATCATGGGGCAACTTAATCATGCTTCCGGAATCCGAACTGGGAGACAACTCCTCCTCTCGCTCAGGCTGAATATTGAGGTCAATCTGGCCTTTGAATGGCGAGGCAGATGACTTTGTCTTGTTAGGGTCATCATCAGAACCTTCATTGCCCTCCCTGTTCTGGTTAGGACTACTACTATCTCCTGTGTTACTGCAAGGGAGGGAATCATCATCCAGCAAGATCTCTGACATTGGTTGTGGTGGCTGGGGTGGCTGTGCCTGTTGCTTTTTGCGTGTTGTCTCTGCTTCTCTCTCTGATTGTTTCTTCTCGCGCCGCAACATCAGGGTTCGGAAACGGCGCTTCACTGTTAAGCAAACATTACATGTGCAAGTCTGCTTATGCTTCGGCCCCTTGCCACTAGGAGGCTGAATGCAAACAATGCAAGAGCAGCCCGGTCTATGCCGAGGGTGTTTTGTTGTGGCTTGGGCAGATGCTGGGAGAGCCTCCCCCTCTCCCAAGATGGCTAGGTTAGCAAGAGTGTCAAGTCCTTCCAAAGCTTCAACATTATCAGGATCCTGCTTGGCGGCCTTCATTTTCTTGGATACAACTGTCAAAAATGAAAAATAAAACCTTGGATAGGAATAACATCTCTCAAATTATATCAATCTTCAAGATATTCTCGTATTTCATATTATGCTATTAGAGAGTATTTGTCAAATACAAGCTCCGTAATTTCCATATAGGGCGTCTATGATGCAAGACATGGATTCTACATCCAAAAAGAGTTTACAAAATTAAGATAAAGAAGACACAAGAAATCATGCAAATCAAACCTGAATTGCAAGGGGGAAGCAGATCTTCAAGCTGCTCTGCTGTCAACTCCTGTGCAGCCGAACATGATCTGGAGGCATGGAGGATACATCAAATGACAAAAAATGGCCAGAGATATTGGTTAGATATTAACATATAGATTCATAACTGAGCAAAGTATGAACTTTATGTTATGAGGCTGCCTGAGTAGATGAATAGTGTGCTTAGTAGAACTGAAAAATAAACAAATCAAGTAGAAACAGACAAATAACCAGCCCCAACTCCCCACAAAACACCATCTTCCTCTGTTGGACTCCTTCCATTTTCACTCAAACCAGATAACAAAAAAATAAACAATCAAATATATAAAGGTCACCCCCCCCTAATAGTCAGAATCCATGGTATTATCCAGAGTCTAGGGATATAGATATCTTCATATCCATTTGAGGTTTAATGAAACAACCTCTAGGGCATCATATATCACACTTAACACACTTCTAGTGCAGAAGACATCACCCTTAACACAGTTATGATCAGCATGAATGTCCTGACTGAAATGCATTATTCTGAGAATGCTGACCAATTTTCCATGCAAATTTGGCATGCAAAAACTAAGGACAGCATGAGAAACCAAAATTGCCAATGAAAACCAAAACAATAGATATATCTTGCACCTTTCTGGGTCCCATGGATTATCTGAACATGTCCATCTTGATGTTAGAAGAGCATTGGCTGGCAATTTGCGCCATTTTTGACAATCTTCACATTGAGCCCACTGGATCTTTTCACTGGCACACATAATATTCATTACAGAGATGAATTTACACAGTAAATTAACAAGAAGAACAATTTTTCCTTTTCTTTCAATCAGCAATGCCATTTATAGAACAGGAAATTTTCCACTTTGAAAAAACTGTGCAAGTCATGCTAACAGATTGATAAATTTGGGCAAAACAAGCCATAAAGCCAAAAATGGACTCATATGTAACTAATCAAGAAGTGATTCAGGCCAAAAAAGAGAAAGTCAACGAGAAGTAATCTACCCAACACTGTCCGTGGTGAAAATTGTTGGTTTCCCTAGCACTGGAGCATCCTGTAACAACAATGCCAGCATAAGGGCCTCTACAACACATGAAGATCCCCAAATCTTTAGAAGACACCAAGGCAACAATAATAGATTTAGACAGAATA